GGGGGAAGCAGTGTAGGAGAAGAGAAGGAGGAAGAAGGTGAGAAAAGTTTCATGTATAAATGTACAAATTATAAATTGAGGGGAAACTGGGGACTGGCTCGCTACAATTGAGGGGTGATGGTGAGAGTTCAGCTCACAGCTGTTCTGTGCTGCTCTACATGGCTTCGCTTCACTTCCTCCTGCATCACAATATCACAAAGAGGAACGGTCAATGAAGGATGGGAGGAGGAGGGGTGTGTTCAGGAGCTAGAAGAAAGAAAGGAGGTGCTGGGGGGGGTGCAAGTAAAACCGGCATTCATCCTCTCAAATTGATGACTTGCTAGAATTGAGCAACACTGTCCACATGGACTGACTGAAGTCTTTTGTGTGAGAAGTTGTCAGAGACTATTGATCTGGGTTAGATTTCCTCGAAGGCTCACTGCAGTTTGTAGGCAGAGATGCCGTTTAAAGTAATTGTTGAACCCTGACAATTTGGTTATGCCAGTACTAAATTGGGGTCCAAAACAACGTCAATGAAGTGGTTAATTCATCACATGCAGCTGCACAACACCCACAAGTCTGAATAGAGCAGGACTAAGTGTTTAGGCTGCTCCATAAGTTTTTTTATGCTACTTGGATGCTAACAGAAGGACGGTATTGATAGTCTGCTGGAGCTAGTTAGCTGTAGCTATTTAATATTTAAGCATGTGTATTCTCAGGAGTGAAGTACCTAGAAGTTGTCTAGGTGGACTAGCACTAGTGTGGTAATCATTAGACTGATATATTTAGCACTAACGTTAATAGTTAGCTGGTCAGGAAACAGTAGGAGCTTAGCCAATTGCTAGCTGGCTTCTGATGTGCCGGCCTTCATCCTCTCAAATTGTCCCACTTCTTTGTCTCGCAACTTATTCCACAGCGTTTTATGTAGGCCTCCACTATTACCCCACTATTATCCCAATTCTTACTCATTCAACTTCCTTCACTCATGCATACCAGCCTAAGAGGGAGATTCTCTGTCTCTCACACACACACACACACAAACAAACGTTGTCTCTCAGGGCCATATGTTGACCTGTGGTGGACTTGAATACAGCCATCTGCCTGCCTGTGTCCCACAGGGCAAGAGTGTGGGAGAATGTCTATCAGACACAATTCAGCACACACACACACACACACACACACACACACAGAAACCATACAAACACACACATGCCTTTAACCCCCTAACAGCCACTACTCATTCCAAGACAGCCAGCCCATCTCATGTTAACAGTGACAACTCTTGTGTGCATTAAAAGAGATTCCTGGGGGGGTCAACCATGTGCATGCATCTATAGCCCTGTTTTTTTTTTGATAGACATCGTGAATGGAGGAAAAATCTAAATCTTACCATCATGACTAATTTTTTAAGCGATGATGAAATACCATATTAGTTTGATGTAAACATTCTTCACAAACTTAATGTAATTAAGACAATTTAGACCACAAACTGGTTTTATATCCCTGGTTGTTTTCCCGTTTTATCATATATAGTTGGATTTTTACAAGGACCAATTACATTTTGTGGTTTAACCCTCCCAATGCCAGCACAAACGTCTTCTGCTCACCGTAGCAACAGAAGATTAAAGTTTAGTACTCAGCTGCCACGCAGAGCAAGAAAGTGTTGAGGGGACATAACTGATAGAAAGGAGAGGAACAAAGTGAGGGAGGAAGGATGGATTCAGTGAGGGAGAAGGGACATGGGTGGGAGCCCAGGATTGGTCAGATTAAACCCTAAACAAAAGACTTATCTCCACATGAAATCTCAATGGCATGACTACACACACACACTAGTGTCTTGCTGTCCTACAGCAGACTGGTTGACTATTATAGCTAACCTTGCATGAATAGATTTACTTCTTTTATTCAGTGCAATCAGAAAAATAGCCCTGAATTAAACTCTTACAGATCAATCAGCAACACTAGTTTGTTAGAACATGAGGCTCCATCACAGAGTAACTGTAATTCATTTGCTGCTCAAGGAGGTCCTGTTGTGTTTCACTCTTTTACAGTGTCATTTGTGGATGAAAATAGAAGTCTCTGGTCTGCAATTATATATGCTAATCGTTCTGAAGGAACTGAGAAATGATCCGTAATCCAAAAATCACACAGAGTATATTGTCTTTTTCCACAGCTTAAAGCAAACTTTCTTTTCCTTTCCAGTGAAACCATGTCCCAGTATGTGGTGATTTTGAGGCGGACGTTTTTTTAAAGTAATGTTCTAGCCTCGTAAAAAAACTAAAATCGAAAAATCCTACATAAAAATGAATTGACATCCAGTTTCTGTCCCGTAAAACATCACTAGCTTATCAGTCAGTCTAAACTAAGATATTAACTGAAAAACTTACCAACCTACTTTTGACTGTGTGTGTGTACAGCAAAGGGCCACTGGGGGAATGTTATCTACACTGAAAATCATAACTGACAGTTCACTGGTTTCCTGCTTGCTTTCTTCCTTCCTTTCTTTCTTGTTCACAAATGTGTGAACATTGTTGCACATATACTACACAGGAAAGGAAACATACGAGTGTCGTAACCTCTGCATTGTTGCAGCAGCACCTCAATACAAGGGTTCTGAGCAGATGTGCCACACATGCCTGTATAGATTCTACCTGATTAATCATTTTAAGTGTAACCCCATGAATCTCAAAACAAACTTAAATTACTTTAAAAAAAAAAAGAATCAAAAAAAAAAAAAACTTTATTTCCGGTACAAAATAGCAAAAAAGAGAAACCAAATATATTAAACTTGATACAAGCATCACCAACTCAAAGTCCTCTATAAATATGTTAAAATAAATTAAAGAAATTAATTTACTAAAGATCACCTTTAACACTAAACAGGCCATAAACATGTTGATGGAAAGGCGATTTTAAATAGACCAGTAACAGCACAGTGTCTGTTCTTCTAACCAACTATGTCATAAAACACACAAGTAACACTTCTATAACACTAAGCATACATACCCTAACCCTACACAATGCTGGCTCGAGCTCAGTGAGGCATCAGTTCACGTACATGTGACCAGGAACGCTACACATTCTTAACAGGACAAAGCCAAAACAGGAAGAATTAATATCGACGGCGAGATGAAATATGGTGTGCCGAGTCACAAAAACATGAATATTTATCGAAAATGTAACACCAGTGCTGCCTTTGGACAAGAGGAAAAAAAAAAAAAGAAAAAGAAAACTGCTCCTGGGAATGTTGCGTTTAAGATAATCTAAAACACATATTTAGGAAAAATGCCAGAGGTAAAACAGGACATGAAAGATTCACATGACTTGATTAAAATTTCCTTCCATGCCAAGTGCCTTTTTCAGATCATATCGGTTTACACAAAATAAAAAGCAGAATTGTGTGATGGCATCTCATTCGTTTGGTTATTTTTAGTCTATCTTTAAACTCAGTGTTGATGGATATTCTGCAATTTGGGCTGGCACATTTCACACATCAAAGCCAAAGACATACAAATGCCCTGCTTTTCCAGTCGGCAAGTCATGGACATGGGATATGAGAAAGTATGGTGAAGCCCACATGGCCTTTTTTCTTTCTTAAGCTCAAACTGAATTCCCCCCCTCCCCGTCCCCCCCTCCCCCTGTAAGGCAGGCTGTATCAGGTCATTTGACAGTTTACTGGTGGCAGTTTATCAATAATACACAAAGACACAAAAGAACACTTGTAGTCGTCTTAACAACAAGGAGACTTGAACTCTAGCTTATTTGGCTAAATAAAGAGACCTGCACCCCCATCCACACATCTCTCCTAACAAACCAGCAAATATCGCTTCAACACGTGACCTGCTAAATAACGCAACAGGCACTTCATTCGTTTAAAAACTTAACATTCGGGTTCAAGGCTAGTGATCTAAACATAACCTCAGACTGCATTTACATATAAAAAAAAAAAACAACAGTTTCAACAATACTGTGTACAGTTAACATAGTGTGTCTGTGCTACCATAATCAAAACGTTTGAGCTACAAAGACGTCTTTGGCTTCGTCACATTCTTTTGATCACCCAGAAATTGGTATAAGGGTAATAGAAATGGTGTGGTTGGACTCATCACACTGTGATTACAATATCTTTGTCGCTATTTGTCATCCTAACATATGATTTTGGTTGAGCTTCATTCGCCTCAAGCACTATATAACTTCTGTCTTTGATATAAACTCCATTTTGGTGGCAACACACATTTCAGGGTTCTGCACTGTCGCTTCCCTTACGCATACGGCAGTGAGAGTTAAACCACATTGATCGAATAGGCGAATCTCTCTGTGCTTTCTGTTTCAGTCAATATGTCTTTGTTTCCTTTGATGCCACACAGGAGCAAAGAACATCTGAGGTGTCGCTGCCGTTTGAGTGTACGTGTGCATTTATAGGCTTCTAGTGTGTGTGTGTGTATGTGTGTGTGTGTGTGTGTGCGCGCTTGAATGTGGCTATACGTGTGTACAGCATATATTATGTCGTTCTGCATGTTTATATAAATATGAATGTATGTTTGTGTTCATACTGCAGCCTGAAGGCAGAACCCAGTAGCATCCTCAGGAACAGAGAGCTGACTGAATACAGCCAGACGCTTGCCGTTGACTTCATTAATGCCTCCGCAGGATTCAGAGCCACTGAGCGAGCTAGCAGAGCTGCTTCCATCCTGGTCTTGGTCTGACAGAGAGGTGTAGGACAGGGATCGTGCACCCAGTGGCCCCGGAAAGACCCCAGTAGCATTGGGACTCTGCCTCAGGGAAGGGGAGGCGGTCGGAGACAGCCCGCTCGGAGAACAGCCGGAGTCTGGGGAAGGCAGGAATGGAGACCGGGGGTCCGCTGCAGTGACCTGGCTTATGGGGGGCTGGTACTGGTCGGCAGGGGAGGCCTCGAAGGCAGAGTCCATCTCTAGGAAGGCATGAGAAAGGAGGTCGGTAATGTCAGCGCAGGAAGGAGGAGAGGCCGGAGGTTCACGCGTGAAAAAAGCAGTGGCAGGAGGGTGAGCAGGAAGGGCAGGCTGAAGGGGAGCAGAGGGAAACCCAGCGAAGCTGAAGCTCTGTCTGACAAGAGGAGGTCTGTGCGAGCGGAAGGAGGAAGGCGGCTGCTGGGGAATGCTGGAGGAAGAGGACGAGGAGGAGCGAGCGGGGGAATGTTTGATTTCCTCCTCCTCGTTGTTGTGGACGAAGTGGCAGCGCATCCCGTAGGGGCAGAAGCCGATGGTGTGAAACGTGCGACACGGCTCGGTTTTGTACTTCGGATGCCGGTTGAGATCTCGCAGCTCGTCCAGCCCGTGGGCAAACTGGCACTTCCCGCCGTACTTGCACAAGCCGCTCTCGGTGAAAGACCGACACAGTTCAGTCTTATAGCGCGAGGAGGAAAGGGAAGAGGAGCTGGTGTTCAGTGCAGTGGGGCTGATGTCACTTTGGGAGTGCGTTAGGTCAGTCCCCGGCCAGCCAAGACTTGCTGCTGTGGTGCTGCCGGTCTCCACCATGCTGAGGGAGCGCTGGGCAAGGAAGCCTGACTTGGCCCACTGGGTGGAATTAATGAGCTGGGTGGGCAGAGGGCTTTCTGGCTGCTCCCCCCATTGGCTGGAGGTCAGAAATACACCGTCTGACGGATCAGCGGGGAGGCAGGCGAGAGACGACAGGGAGAACGACGTGTTGCTACGCGGCTGACCAATGCAGCCCGGTGATCCCATTGCCAGACTGACGGAGGATGACGGAGGTGGTCGGTTCTGCTCCTTCAAGTCAAGATTCAGTAACTGCTGTAAAAAGAAACAGACAGAACAACATTAGCAGATATATTTTACTATTAATAAATAATGCATATTACCGTTTTGTTTTTTACATGTCTGGCAGAATAAATTCATGTACTGTATAAAGAACTTTATTCATGGATGATCGGTATTAAATACTGGCATACAAGTATACATAAAAACAAACTTCTTGTGTTTTGTTGCCATGCAATACAGACACCACAAAGTTAGCCGCATGGTACTTCAGTTAGCAATACTTCTAATGTGACCCGCCCTCTTTTAGGATTGCATTTTGTCTCAAACTAATTTCCTCTAAAGGACCAAACAGGCCCAGTGTCTTATATAAGCAGCTACAGGACAGACAGGGAAACCAGGCAGACCGATTATTGGACTGGTATTTATGGATCGGTCACCACGAGATGATGAATTGAAAATAATTAATGAAATAATAATTTCAATGCTGCCATTTGAGCAGAGCAAGTCCCTTTTAAACTTGCTCGATGGATTTGCAGTTACAAGACTTTATTCACACAAACATGATCAAAATCCAGCAACACTCTTTCCTTCCTTTATTTGTCCACACTAACGTGACCAAACAGGGTTTAACCTGGAACCTACACTTGCATTTTCTATTGTGATTAAAGTAAGCAAGGGCAGGATATAGCTAACCAAGGAGCGTTATATTGCTATCGTATGAAGTAAAGTTAGTAACGCCCTCGTGCAGTTGTTCCTAAATTATAGTATTAGTTTGGTACACAGCTTGCTTCTACTAACTAGGATATAGTGAATTAAACACTTCTCAGTGTTATCAACGCATATTGACAACTTTAACTAACTTTTTTGTGTTGTTTCGAGCATAAAGTTAACGCTAGGTTGTCAACGGCTCTAACTCATTCAGTTGTAATTAACCTCTGTGACCAGCGGTGGTGTTAGCTTAACCAGGTCAACGTTAGCTCACTAGTACTAGCGTTAAATCACTACATGGGCTAACGTTAGTTAGTGAGTGAGTAGACGATTTAATGGGCCCATGTTACGACGAATCGCAACACCAACTTAAACAAGTTAGGGAAAGTTAACTTTCAATCACAACAAAAAAAAAAAAGCCAAAAGCTCGATAAAGCCACCGGTTAAAAACAAACGGTTGATACCGGACAACAGCAGCATCTGCTAAACAACACTTGAACAGACGAAGAGAGCTAGCAGCGTAAAGTTAGCAGTGTAGCCAGTTAGCTAGCGTTAACACCCCATGACCTAGCCAACTTTTTTGCTCAACTCAACTTTTCTTTGCGCTCCGCGTTTACCTTGCACATCATCTCTTCCAGGTCAGCGAACTGGTTGAGGGGGAAGGATGGCATTTCGCTGAGTTGTCAAAAGTTTTCGTCCGATCTCGTCTGCCCCCGCAGTTGATAGACGTGGGCCACTCGCTGGCATGAGTTGCTCAGAAGTTTCTGGTTGTGTGCGCGGTGCTAAACAAGCCCAAGAACCCCTAGACCACGTGTGGATTTAAAACCTAACATTGCCGTTAGCCCCTCCCACGCCTCTGTGAGTCAGCCCAAAGTTGTTTTCATCAGACCACTGTCTGATGAAAACATGATGGGGACTGCTCGAAAAACGTCCTTTTACCTGACCTATTTTTAATTCCTTTAATATATAAAGATATATTTTATTTTTATTTATATCAAAGTATATATTCTAATTATTTTAAGCCATTTAGGACATACGGTTTTAATCAGATGGGACAGAGGAGGTACACTGGTAGTAGCTGAAACAAACTAAAGAAAGGCTTTGACACAAAGGGGGCCTCAAGAAATAGAAAAGTAGACAACAGTAACAAGAAATGGCAGCCACAAGGTCAAAAACAGGAGTACATGCAGAAAACAGGAGCACTGAACACATTGGTAGAAAAGACGGTAGGCCTACAGCTGAGCCCCATGAGACAGACAAGGAGGAGTGAAGTCTTTTATTTCAAAGGTAAAGTGTGAAAAATCCCACTGCAGAACAGAGCCATGAGAATATCCCACTCACACACACACACACACACACACACACACACACACACACACACACAGGTTTGTTCCTCTATCTTTGCAAGGATCAGAAAAGTCGAAGCAACATTTTATTTCCCCAAATCCAAACCTTAAACTAACCACAACCCAACGTATAACCCTAAACCCTATAGCCTGGAGGAATTGTCAAAGTAAGCTCAGACAAAAAAAAGGCCACAAAGACAGAATTTCAAGAACACACCCACGCAGGTCTGCCAGGAGTGAAGTTGTCACACCCCTTGGATTGTAAGGAGGGTTGCGACAGTTGCTAACAGTTGGCTGCACCTACAGGGGAAAGAAACTGAAAAATGTACAGTCCTCATTAGAGCAAAGAAGAAAGAAAAACATCAGAAATTGCTGGGCCTCCAAAGTATGAAAGTTCTTGAAAGCAGGAAAAGGCTCTGAGCCCCTTTCGAAAGATGAGTTCAGCTGAGAACAAAGCCCGCCAAAAAGCTTTGTTTTGGTCCAGCCAAGTGGTCACCCTTAAATGTGTGTGTTTGTGTGTGTATAACGGGGGGGTGGGGTCTCAACCCCCTCCCCATCCCCCCAGTACTGTGATGATGTAATGGTAGGCCTATAGGTCTGCTCTATACATCCTGAAGGTTGACTCAGCCAGCTGTATTTTGACTTATTTTGTAGCTGAATTGGTGTCTTTCCTCACATACCTGCAGTTAAAGGTGTTTAAGAAGTATCTTGGTGTCCAGCGCACTTGTGCCATGGTAACATAACATTCTTTCAGCAGGTCTTCTTTGCACGTCTTTCCTCTTTTCTGTCCGGTCAAACTTTGCCGTTACTAACAAAATTGCCACGAAGCTAAATCTTCATAAAGAAAATGGGCATTCATTTCTTGTGAACGCCTCTGAAACCAGCACCGTATGTATAGCTTCATAATGTCAAGTCTAGACGCAGTATCGTCCAGATACATCAGATTGGGTAGAGATCCAATTAAGATGGACTGTAGCATCCTAAATGCGTCTTGAGTGACATTTGGGTGGCCTTTTGTTGTTATACTTTATGTTATTATACTTCACTTCCTCATTCACATCTAAATTCACCATCAAGAAACGTACCACTTCTGAACAGAAAAAAATGACATATTTCAGCATTGCAGTGGCTAAGTCGTATGTGCTGTGTGGTCCAAATAAAAATGGGAATAAAATGTTATTCCGCATTGACAAAGTAGCTTGGGGGGTTTTGTCATAGAATATGCACACTAAAAACTTCAATGCAGTCAGGAATGTATTTTGCATTTCCAACATCACTATGCGGACACATTTTAAAAATGTATTTTAGCCTTAAAAGACACAGTGGACACATAACCAAGATCACAGTCTTCTTTTTTTGGCTGTGCTTCCTCCTGTATATATAAAGCAGTCTGCTTTCACCCGAGGTGCAATTAATGCCAAGTGTGATCAAGGCCTAATTATATTGCGACTGACCTTTGGGTGCAATTCCAGACGTGAGCGACTGCCCTAATTAATATATTGTCTTAAGAGGTTGGCTCTGCGTGTTTGTTTTTTAACCGAAGATGAAGATCACCACTGCAAACAGCAAGTCATTAACAAGATGTCAACAACACAAGTGCCTTGAGGTAAACCTCAAACCGTCTATTCATTTGGTTCAGTTAACAAGTGTTATCTGTAAACAAGCTATTTGGTCAGCAGGTACAGTTAACTTCTATAAACAAATCCCTCTTGGGTGAGTTGGGGATTACTGGGAGTCGAGAGAGAAAGGGAGTTTTCTGGAGGAAAGGGGGAGGGGAGGAGGGAGGAGAAAGGAGAAAGGAGGAGAGTGGTTTGAAAGAGAGTTCTTGCTTCTTGTTGAGTCCAGCTGGGCTGGAGGGCCTTTGGAGCACAATGAGCTCAATGAGCTGCAGGACCAACTAACAAACTAATAGCCCGCCCTCTGCGACGCTACCCCCGTACACACACGCACACACACACACACACACACACACACACACACACACACACACACACACACACACACACACACACACACACACAGAGGACAGTGAATGGGTGGATAGAAGGGCTTGTTAGAAGGGAAAGAGATGGGGGTGAGGAGAGGGATGAAGGGGCAGGATTGGGGGCTATTTAGAAGAAATGAGGATGCAGGAAATGAGAGTAAGGCATTAGGAAGGAAAGAGGTGGTTTCGTTAAGACTGGCTCTGCAACCAGGTTACAGATTTGGGAATAATCAACCAGATTCATAAACATGTGTCATGGGACGCATTCCCTTGCTTTGTCAAGTAATATTACTGCGGTGAAATAATTAGCCAAGTCATTAGGAAGGCATTTACTGGTTCAACATCTGCTTGATATTAGAAGAGATTTGCAGAGGTGACATTGCACCGTGGGCTTGCCCTATAAAACGATATATATTTGAGAGAACTCCTTATGAAAATACATTGCAGTGTGTTTCCACTAACAGAAAGAAATAGTCTGAGGGCTAGTTTGGGGATGTAAGAAAAGGACAGGCAGGGTAGGAGAGCTAGCTAATCCATAATCACAACTGTGTGTGTGTGTGTGTGTGTGTGTGTGTGTGTGTGTGTGTGTGTGTGTGTGTGTGTGAATCTGTAGACAACTTGTGAAACAATTGTATTGTAACGCCATTTGTTTTGTGTGTGTTGGAGAGAACGACACACACACACTTGCACACTCAGCCTTTTGAAAGCCTCATGATTAAGTGAAGTCATTCCTCCACAGCCCCTCACAGGCTTCTTCAGATAAGGGGCTACTATTGCCATTGGAATATTAAGGAGAGGGGAGGAGGGATCTGTAGACCTGATGAACATCTGCTCCTCTTTTACCCCCCCCCCCCCTCCTTCTTTGTAGCCCCTGCCCCATTTGCTTGTGTGTGTGTGTGTGTGTGTGTGTGTGTGTGTGTGTGTGGGTGTGTGCGTGTGTGTGCATTTGTGTGTGTTTGTGCTTATAGGGAGTCACAGAGAGAGTTGGGGATTTAGGAAGAGTTTCCCTGACAGTGACATTTTAGTAAATCTACAATTGGTACCCGCATCTAAGTATTAGGCCATGTCCACACTATACGTTTCCATTTTAAAACCCATATCTTTTGCTATGTTTACACTTAGCATCCACACTAATCCCGAGTTTTAGAGCTTTAAAAGTTTACGTTTTTAAAGTTTAAAAACGCTTCCAAGGACGGATACGTTTCACAACTCCGGGGTTACCTCCTAGTCTAGACAGGCGGAACCGCATTAGTTTGGAAACAATACCGTGGAAACCCGCGTTCGCTACTTGATTGGGTCTTCAGAGTCATGACTAGTATTCCCCTGATTCGTCACACCCTTATCATGCGACCCTTTTCCAGAGGAAAACAAACAACAGCAGCCTTGATTACCGATCGACAGCATTTTATAACTCTACCAATGCCGACATGCAGAGGAAGCAGATGTTATTGGAGCAATTAACGAGCGGCGTGTCCAGCCGCGTTATCAGCCCAAACCGAGAGGAAACGAGTGAGAGGTGCATGTTGACCACATTTATTGATCCATAATCTAGTAAACTTTGATTGTAAGTGTTCATTTTAAAGTAAATTTGATGTGTGTGGAAGAGAGAGGCAGAGAAAGACCTGCAGCGTTGTAACTAAGTCTAAAAAATAAAACTTTGTCTGTTTGAGTTTACAGAGGAAGTGACTGCACTGGAATGTTTAGTTATGCATAAATACATAACAACTATGACTCTCTCTTGTTTCTGCTTAATGCACACACATCCAGGTATGCCACACAGTAGGGTTCTACTCACAGGTCAGAGGTCGTCACCTGACCTCTGACATCATCTCCTCCCTCTCCTGCCCGCTGGAATTCACTCCTGTGGATTCAATTAGAAAGCTAGAGAGAAGGAGAGCAAGAGAGGAGTACGTAGAGGCTTTACAAACAAGATAACAGTGACAAATGTCCACAGAGGGCGTAGCAATGGAAAAGGAGACAATGACTCAGGGTGGAGAGGGTGAGAGAGTGATGGAGGAGAGTTCAGATCAGTTCTTTTAACTCATTTGTTTTGGAGGAAAGGGGCAAAGAATCTGGGGTCCTACACCAGACATAATGGGGTACACTATATGGACACTGATCCCATGTCTTTGTGCTTTTGCTTTGTGGATGTTTTAATGGGTTAGGCTAGCCTCCTCACTTCCAGTTAAGAGAACTCTTAATGCTACAATAAACAATAATAGTTCATATCGTATTTAATTGATATTCATGTCTTGCACTTCACTGTAGCTGCACTGTAGTTCTCATTCTACTGTTTAATCTGCCTTATGCTGTTTTGGTTTATTATTTTCATATATTTTATTCTTTTGAAATCCCTTTTGCATGTCTGTTTATATAGTCTCTTTATGGCTGTGTGTATAATTTATATTTTGTCTTAATACCAATTGAGTCAAACGTAAAGCACTATGTATTGCCTTGTTGTTGAAAGGTGCTGTACAAATACTATTTCCATGCCCTTCCCTTGATATGTTAGACTGTATGGTGTGCATTGAACTTTGTG